TTTCTCAGGATCACAGTCTCACTTTTTGCACTTTTCAAGAGGAAGAAAAAAAGGACATTCCCGGAGAGAAAAGTGCACAGGTCTGAGATTTCAGCCCTGGCTCGGCAGCAAACAAAACATCTGAAAGAAATCCTTTCTGATCTCAGTCCTGTTTTAATGTCAGAACTAACAAAAGATTAGACTGTAAATATGAAGACGGAAACACTAGTAACATAGCTTTCATCAATTAGTTAGCCAGCACAGACACAATCTTTAAACCTGTACCCATTCATCAATAGCCTGATAATCAGACTGCATTGCCATTTAGTTTGACCGCAATTATTCAGCTTGACATTTTGGCTACATTCACACTGCGAGCTTGAGTGCTCAATTCTGATTTATTTTGTTTCGTTTGGCCCTAACCAATCGGTAGAGAGTGATGTATCCATCACGCCCCCTCTATTTTCAGTTAACATGGAAGCAGTGGTGGTAGTTAGAAGGTGTGCCTTCAAATATAAAACCACAAATGACAGCACGTTGGAGTTTTCTTTTAATTTAAGTTGTTTCTTAAACATTTACTGCAGCCTTATCAATGCTGTTAGATGATTAATAATTAATAAGTTATTTCAGACTGAAAGAGATCAGGTCTGTAAGGGGCTCCCTCATAATTCGAGCTCTGTTTTATTCTGTCTGTAAATAAACAAGCACTGAGGCCTGTCGGTATAATAGATCAAGCATTGCATTTACATCTCAACGGCAGCCCATAATCCATCACAGGCAGGTGTGCTACAGGCCCACACCAGCCTGTTAAACAATTAAAATACCTGCCTCAGTGATGTTTCATTCATGCATAGTCTTCTTTGTCAAGTCATTGATGTTCTCGGTGCAGTCCATTGCTTAAAATATGTACAGACGGAACTGTGCTGCCGTCTGCAGTGAAAAGCTTCAACTCTGAGAAATATCAAATCAAATCAGTGCTGTAGACCTTTGCACATTTCAACCAGAATTATATATATTACTATATTTGAGCTTTTAAGAATCACTTAAGTTGAGTGAAGTTGATTGATGCTCAAAGTAGTGGTGCTTTATACTTGCAGCCACCATATAGTACAGCTATAAATCACTGGTCAAGATATCTGTCATCAGTAAAAAGACCTCCACTCTGAATTTCACTGCTCCGCTGAGAATGAGTCATCTGTCCTGGTTTCATGCTTTGTCTGGCAGGGTATTACAGACCCTCAATGGTTCTCTAAATCTATTAACAGAGAGCCACACAAAAACAATCTTTGCATGAGCGATGTGATGTGCACAGAAATATTGAGCCTAATGATTCCATCTAAATATCTCAAAAAACATTCTTCATCTCGCATTGCTGTGCCCTGTGTTTCCTGACTGTTTGTGTATTCCAGGTAAAAAGCCTTGTTTTCCTGTGCAAACCATCTTGTTGGTGAGATGGGCTTTTCAAAGGCTCAATACATCTGCTTCAGTTTGTTTCAAGTCCATCTGGTACAAATTTCCAGTGCCAGGGGGGGAGTTGGAGCAGAAGTTGAATATTGATTAGACCAATCTGAAATATTCGCCTCCTTAGAGCAGTTGACACCACACGCCCCCACAAGATTATGTGAACGGGTCGCCCACTGAATCCACTTAACAACTTAAGTTTACTTCTTGAGTGCCCCTTACAGACTTGCACTATTGTAGCATTGACCCCCACAGTGAGTAATGGCAAGATCCATACAGTCTTCTACAGGTCTGAAGCAGGCGTGGATTCATTGGGGGTGGGGGACCAGATATATACGCTGGTTTAATTGCAAACAGTCATATATATCAAAAATGTTTAATTATTATGTGTTATTTTAACTCAAAAGCATTACATTATTGTAGCAAATTAGTAAAGCATTGAATAGAAACATCTCAGTCAATTGTTTTTTTCCAAATTTTAAGACATTTTTCCAAATACATATATTTTTTCATTTAACTTTGTCTAAAATATGTACATAACAGATCATGAAATTAAATGTGTTCATGTTATTTTTAAATGTATCTAAATGAATGTGTTCAATTTGACATTTGACACCAAACTGGGATGGCAATGCCTCCCCACTGCTGCTTTTGAGCAACACAAAAAATGGGTAAAAAAAGGAATGTTCAAAGAGATGCCTGTTCTGTTGTACAAAATTAAAGATAATTTTGTGCTGTTCTGCAGTAGCAAAGTGCCTCGCCTCATTTTTCGCTGTTGTGTACGGCATGAAATGGGATATAGTTTGGTAATCTTTGGAAAATAGCAAAAGACAAAAGAAGGAAAAAAAGGTAGAGTTTATTGTTGTTTTCCTGCTGTGCGTGAGTTGAGAAGTTCTATCAAAGCCTCAGCTGCAACTACCTGCAAGTACTAACACATAGAAATGTGGCATCACAGCAGAATATCTCTGAATGTGCTGTGATGGATTCTTCACATTATACTATTTAATATGTGGCATGGTGTTCCTCTGCCCTCACTGCCATACTTTCTCATCTGCTCTGGACGGTAGGGATCCATTTGCTGAGCAATTCCTAAATTCCCAGAAGCTGTAGTTACCATTAAAGGAGAAATCCACCAACATAGTTCTGTCAAATACTGTTATTTTCTACAGAGATATTGCATCATAAAACCTCGTGCCAATACTTCTCTTCTTCCATACATTGCAGTTTTAGCTCAGTCAGTGCCACAAAGCTGGTTTGGTTTGGAGGAAGCGGTACACATTACTTGTTAATGGAGAGTAAACCAATTGCTCTTCGTCCTCCTTCTTTCCATCTCTGATGTAAAATGGACCGAACACTCTGTGCTGTGAGTTTTGTAGATGAGTTCACATAAAATGACGTTGTTATTCTGTAAAATACAGCTCCTTTTCCCAGAATGCTACAACTGATGATGCAATATCACAATAATCAGTGCTGTGTTGATGATGAGCACATCTGGTGCAGCAGCTTTATTACGGGTGACATAACACTTCTCTCCTCTGGGACTGAGTGGCCTTCACAGCTGTAGCATTGCTTAAGTTAACTGTTGCATTGAAGGCAGCTGTGCATCACGTCTCTATGTCCCTGTTGTTTTTATACGCTGATTTAATATGTTTTTAATTAGGTTCTTGATTTAGTTCACACATCAATCTTTTAACTTAGGTAGGCTACTGGATTAGATGTTTTTCACTTGGTTTTTCACTTCACACAAGCATTTTACAGCTTTAAAACTGCTATATTCATTATGTTTACATCAACATTGCGTCAAATGACTGAATGCATGTTGACTGGTGATGATGATGATGAAGTCACAGAGAATTTTAGCAACTTTCAGCTCAGTGTTTTAGTTTTATGGACTGCAACCTTACTGCCCTCTCATCAACTTTGTTTCAAGATGCAGTGCACAGCACTTTGCAGTGATTTAACAAAGTTAGCATCTAGCGGGTGGCACAGCGGAGCATTTCCGCACCAAAGAGCTAAAAACGTGTCTCTTGGGAGGTGGTGCAGATCAAAAACAGCTAAAAGGAAACAGAATATTGGACTTACATTCACCAGATGGCCAGAAACAAAATTCCAAGTGAATGTTAATGCTGCTTCATATCTGCTGGATGGATTAAAGAGCAACTGTTAACATCATAAAAGCCACATTAGGTGCTAGCTACCAACTTAAAAGTTGATACAATGTCAGTGTTGTGTTTACAAGTTATTTCCTTTGCCGCTTTGAAGGACCAGTGTGTAGGATATAGTGGCATCTTTCGGTGAGGTTGCATATTGCAACTAACTGAACACTGTTCACATCCGTGTTTGACGACCTGAGAATGAGAACAAGCTGTGAAGAGTGAATGAAAAACTACAGTGGCCACGAAACTCACGGACCCCATGAAAGGCCCTATCTAGAACCAGTGTTTGCTTTGTCCGTTCTGGGCTACGGTAGAAAAATGGGTGAAATGTGGAGTCATTCCTTATCCAAATCCAGTCTAAGGATAGAGGGTGTTGTGTTTAGAAAATTGTAGAACCCATTTAAGACAAAGTGCAAACAGGCTATGCGTATAAATAAAATTGATTTGACTTAATTTAATTGATGAAATACAACAATACCCGTCATATTGTTATTATTAATGTAACTAAGTGGTCTATCTTATGGCCTAAGAGTTTTAGCACAGAGCACAAAAGGCATGAAAACATGAATCACTTCGGTGTGTCTGTGCCTTGGTGACTAATTCATTGTTAAGGTAAAAGTTATTTCCAAATGCAAAAGGTCATAGTATTTTTTTGTTTACCCAATAAGCTACATCATATATGTAAAGTTGCAACATGAAATAGCAAAAAAATCTCATCAACTGCAAGATAGCCCAGACACAAAATGCCTCTTGCCAGGGGTCGTTTTGAGTCCTGACAGGCTCAGGCTGAAAATGTCAAGTTGTTATATAGCTGTCATCTCAGAGTCAGTAATGAGGAAGATGATATTGCTCAGACCGGAGCGCCAAAACAGGTAATGCTAGTCGCACACGGGGTCAGCTTCATGATTGTTCTTCTCCATGTCACCTCCTTCCGCTGACCGAAACCAACTGCCACTGTCAAACGATGTTCCTGCCAATTACTGCTACAGCTTGAGTGAGTATTGTTGGACATAATAATAGGGACGCCTCGCCTAGCTTGCCAAGCGGTAATTGTTGAGCTCTAAATGGACACCGGATTGTTCTGAATTGGCGTTTGGATGCCCAGAACACATTGAAGAGGGACAAATTGTGCTTTCTGTTTGTCCCTGTCTTTATTTTTACATGTTTTTTTCTTAAAATAGTGATCATGGATGGTTTTTCATGTCTCTGTGCCTTGGCTGAAACTAACCTGTTTGTAGATTATGGGTATTAAAGCAACAAAAGCTAAATGTTTTCCATCTTTGTAACACGTGGGTGAAATAGACCTCGATTTGAGCTGTCCTGGAAAGCAAGTAGAAAAAAGGGAAATGAGGATGTTGGAAAAACAGCCCAGAAACAAAAAACTCTGCTTCATTGTCCCCGCAGAATGAACCAGGCTCCCACCACTGGTTTTGAGAAGGATGTGGGTGCCAGAACAACACATCATGTTATGTACCCAGAAAGTGCCATAGACCTGGACAACACCACCAGTCTGGTGCTGATCCCTTTCAAGACTTTGGACCTACAGTGGATCCTTAGTGCCCTGACATCGGGTACCATTAAACAGTAGGTGCACCAATCTATATGTTAATATTAAGACTGAATCAAGTGACTGTGTGCAGTGTGGATTGTGTTGCTTCTAGCAACAAACCCACAAAGAATCACGTGACCCGGTTGCTCCCATCAGTTTTACCGATCTTTTTAGTGTCTTTCAGCTCATTGTTTTGGGTTTCTCGTTTGCTCGTAACTGTACCTTATTTTGCTCTCTTTAATTTAATTTCCAGCCAGAGCACACAGCTATTTTCAGAAAATAACAAAACTTCTGATAAATCCATTGTACACTAGCAACTAAGGTGCCAGATTCAGGAGTTACCTGAATAACAGACCCAAAAGGAACATTTATATTGGACTGAGGTGGCTAGAAACAAGACTTCAAATAAATGTTAATGTTGCTCTGTGTCTACGGGATGTGTAAAAATACACTGCAAAAATATCCTTTAATATAATACTTTTTTTTGTATCTGCCAATGGGCTAGTATAAAAATCTAGTTACTGAAAGTTACTAAAACTAGAAAAAAAATTCCAAACATTTAAACAAGTTGTGCTTATTACAAGCAATGAAAACTTGGTTATTTAAGACAGACTTGCACAAAATGGGATTTGTATTTTGGTCACTTTATTGAGCTGGATTTAAAAAAATTTAACCTTAATCTGGATTAAAAATTAGCAAAAATTAGCAAAAGAAATCTTACAATAAGACACAATCTCTTTAAAAAGCATAATAAAAATAAGTGACTTACTTGCTGGCTTACTGGTTAAATCTGGCTCAATATTAGCTGTATTATCTTATTAAGACAAAATGAGATATATTTTCTTAAAACAACAAAAAGTAAGACTAATTTCCCAGAAACAAGGCTTTTTTTGCTTTTTGAGTTGATAAGGTAGTATGTTGCTTGGTACAGCTTGTTGCAATGCCACAAAGTAATCAAAAAATAGTAAATCTGGGTTGGAAGTAGAGACATCAATGTGCTTATACAATTTTCTTTATGTAATTTAGATATATGACTCACAGCAGAAGTAAATACACATCACTCTTCCACTGAATATCTGTTGGCATTCTAACACAAGAGACTCTTTAATGTTTTTTCCTAATTTCCATAATTATTTATTTTTAAATTTTAAATTTTTAGCCTTTATTGACAGCCTAAGACAGACAGGAAAGGGGGGCAGAGAGAGGGGATGACACGCAGCAGAGGGCCTCAGGTCAGATTCAAACCTGGGCCCCTGCAGCAACTCATACATGGGTCGCCAGCTCTACCGACTGAGCTAACCGGGCGCCCTTCCATAATTATTTTAATATAATAATATTTTAATTGTCCTGGAAATATAAACAGCATTAATGCATAACGATGCCTCACGATGTCGCACTCCCAGATTAATTTACACTCTCCAAATACCAGATTGTCACAACAATCACACTCGCTCAGCATTCCTATTTGTCATATTGCCATAACAAGGATAATCACTCAGTTTTAATCTTCCAGTAAATTTCACCTTCAGCTGCTTCATTCTCAATGACCCGTAATCATTAGCTTGATTACTGGACATCCAGGAGAAAAAAATGGAGCTACTGCCAATTAACGCCACTGCCAATAACTCAAACACGCCAACATGTTAGATGGTGGAAGGACGAGTAAATCCAAACAAATGTTTCCTATAAATGTGCAGTTGTCTTCCAACTCTGCCAAAGCAATCTTTCTGCACCGTTAAATTTCACTTTGCTGGCAGTAATGTCGGCATTAGCCCAACAGCCATTAGATCTTAAATGAGTGTTGTGAATTATTTTGTTACATTTTCTAGTCTTGTTAAATGAAATTGGGCTCAATGAAAAGACTGAACTGTGTGAAGGGACAAGTGACTTGTTTCTGGTCCACATTCGAACACTTGGACTAATAACAGGGTTTATAATGTAGCATATAAAATGATGCACCAGACGCATAACAGGCCATTTTCATATTCACTCACCACAGAATGTAGAGGAACTGGTTGTACAGTACACATTTCTAAACGGAATTAGACCAGTCTGTATAATCTTTGAATTTTAATGAGACTCATTGCTGCAGAGGCAACAGCATTGATAAACCTTTTTTTAATTGGAAACATTTGTCTGGATTGTATCTTACCGTAGAGCCATTAGTTTTCATTTCCGTCTATAAATGCCATCCCTTTACATTTTCAATGAAGTCTGCACAGGCATGGTGTGGAATTGACATTGACTGTAAATTTGCACTTTGTTGCACTTCAACCTGATTTTGCGTGAAAATGGTTTGCATATGAACATTTTCATATGCAAACTGAATATGGACCTTTCACGGAAGCTGCACACACCTTTATGCAAACCCATTTTTTTCTTTCAACATTGCAGTTTCTTCCCCAACCTGGGATGACAAACAATTCTGCACGACACAAATGCAAAAAATTTGACAGTGAGCAGCATGTGTTAATGTAATGACTTCTAAATCTGCCAATAATATTTAAGATGCTTTCTTCATACAGCTGCAATAAAGAAAGACACTGGGCATTTATTTTTAGACATGTTCTCGGTTAAATGAGATTAAAATCATATTGAGGATGGGATAGCAGTGATTGAAATAAATAAGCAGAATTGTGTTCCGCAAAAACAGCGTGACAGGCAAGACAAGATTTTAAGCTCCTGGTATTTCCTTGTGTTACAGCACATATATACCTGTTACGTCCAGGATTAAGGCAAACAAAGACAAGGTGAGTTGTCCCTCTTCACTTTGTCAAGTGGTCGACATCAAGTGATGATGCGCCAAATACCAGTCATGTCACTGACACATACCAGACCAGTGTATGATGATTTTTTACTGAGGTAAGCCTGGTATGTCGCTGCTGTTGGCATGCCACTTGTCTTCCACTGACAGGTGCCACTTTTCACCTAGTGCAGCTCACTGTTGCTATATAGCAACAGTACAAGTAGCGAGCATATTCTTGGACACAGCTTGACCATAATGCCAAAGTGTCTTTTCATTTAATTTAAGAAGTGGTCAGTAGAAGAGTGATACCGTGCATTAGGCATACCGTTACCACAGCAACGGACTATGCCAGTAACAATCATCATATGGTGGTGGGAAGGAGTATCGGTCAGGGACATATTGTTTTAATGTGCCATATGTTGGTCAAACAGAATCAACATAACACTTAATCAAAGTGACATTCCTCTAAGCATTGGCATATCAAAAACAAGAGTGGTACGCCTTCAGTATCTGCCAGTGAACGGGGTGACATCCTGTTTTTAATGCCATAAGCCAGAAGAACAAACTCTGTGCTGCTGTGGCATTAAGATTTCGCTTAATTTGAACTAAGGGGCCAAGCCCAAACCATTAACAACAGCCCCAGGCCTAAGTACATATTCTTTCTTCCTGATATTTCTTTTTCATTACAGAGTTATTTATGTGAAATTATGTAAGCAATTCAGTATATAGAAATCAATAATTTTTTCCCGTCTTAGTAAATTACAAAGGAGTAGAACTTATATTCTATTACTATTTTGCAGGTGTTGATTTACAGTCCCACCTTTTTCAAATATGTCTATGAGTCTTGGCTCGAGGGTCATGGACGATATCCTTCCACTGGCTTCCTCAGCTTATTGCTTGCTATCCACATATGTGATGAGGTAAGTTGAAACACTTTGTTAAGTACATGCATGACTTGACAAACAAGTGTTACTGAAATTTGCTCCGGGAAGTGGAATACAATCCACAGATGGATAAGCGGACGAAGCTTGTGTGGATGAAGTTTTAGTGTGCTTTTGTTCCTCGTCTGCTCCAGGTCAGCGTGTTTGGATTCGGTGCAGACCAGTACGGAAACTGGCACCACTACTGGGAGGACAACCATTTGGCCGGAGCTTTCCGACACACGGGAGTCCATGATGGCGATTACGAATATAATGTCACCCTGCTGCTGGCAGACAAACACAAAATCCGAATGTTTAAAGGCAGATGATACCAAGCCCATATGTGCAATGGGATGATCACCAAGTGAACCTTTGTCTGTTTTTTTCTTCGTCTTATGCTGAAAGACATTCTCCTACTCTACACTACTGACAAACCAATAGAGTTTTTGTCTCAAGACAAAAGCAACACTGCCACTGGTTTCAGCATCCGTAATCTAAACTCAGATGCATCTGGGAGTAAACAAGACAAGAGAAGATGTCTTGTCAACAAGCATGCATACTTGCTATACATAAAAGCTTTAGTACTACGTATATACTCTGTATGTTCTCTTTTCTATATATGGTTAGCATTGTGGCTAACAGAAGCTTTGTATTAATGGTCATTGGCACAAAATAAGCCCTGTTGACAGCAGTAGTCAAAGTGCCACAGTTTCTGATGTATAGACATAGCAAGGGGGATTTTGTGCATCAGTTCATCATTGTAATTCATGCAGGAAGAGCGTCTCATTGTCTGCTGATCTAAAATGTGTGTATTGGAAGCAGTTCGACTCCAAACCTTTAAAGCATTTTAATGAGCTTGACAACAAAACGCACAACTGACTATACTGTAAATATCACTCAAGTATGAATTATCACCATATGCCAGTGAAGGCGTTTTGTATTCTAATAAAGACAGGTATGAGAGAGAATCAAAACTTTTTTCCATCACACAGACCAAATTCTCATAAAGTACCTGCACTACCGAGCTACTTGTATCTTGGATGTCTGATTGCAGCTGGAAAGCCAAGAGACACTTAAAATCAAATCCAAAATCAGGCCCAAAGAATATACTTAACTATAGTGTCACTTAGATTTCCCACAGGGCCATAGCCAGGGGTTTACAAATGCTCAGCCTTTAATTTCTCAAATAGATGGTCAAAATTGTGTTTCAAAGTCCTCTCCAAATTGCCAGAAATTACATTTTGATAGGGAAATAATCTTTGGTATATATATTTTTTTGTTGTCGTCAAGTTTTGACATATGGAGTAAAAAATACTAAATACTAATACTAAAATCCAAATCATCTTCATCATTGCGTACATCGAGAGCGTTGCTCTGGGGATGGCAATGTTGGTGGGCCAGTCGCTCCAGGAGATATTTATAATCCCCAGAGGATGAACCCAAATAATTTCCCAAACCCTGCGACTTTTCCTCTAGCAAGTTGACATTTGTGGTTTTCAGTGACATTATCTCAACAACTATTGAATGGATTGCAGTGAATTTTGATACACATTCATGTCCCCCTCAGGATGAATGGTAACTAACCCTTTTCATCTAACTCCATCATCAGGCCAAAAATGCAATTTTTTTGAGTTATATCCAAATACCAGGCAAACTAATGAGATTCCCATCAGCCTCTGTTGTTACTTACATGGTGAACATGGCAAACATTGTATCATAGATACAGCAACGTAGATATCTCATTGGTCGCTTATTGGGGAGGTCAAGATCTAACAATACTGAGAGATACAGACTTCACTACAAAACTGTAACTTGCTTAATTAATTAATTAATTAACCAATTTGAATGAAATGTGGTTTACTAGGGGTTAGGGGTCAGGATTAGAAAGTGAACATGATAATGGTTACTTGTTGGAATGAATTCAGTGACTGGGGGCAGATCTAATCTGCTTTATGCCAAAACATGAACCTTCTGAACAGCCACGACCTCCACTGGGACATGCAGGCAACATCAAGTATGAATTAGATTGGATTAGATTTTTTTTCAGTCAGTTTCTCCAGTAGTGTAGATTTCTATATCTATCATACTGTTACAAAGCCGCCTAGTTGCTTGTTTTTGTATTTTGGTCGATTATCTACCACCATTGCTAAATCAGTGTTTGAGCAGACTTTTAAAAACTAGACAGATTTATTTCATGGTATTTTAGGTTTTAACCAGTCTAATAAGGACAACCTTTGACTGAATGTGTGCCTTGTAAGATCATCTTTATTTTCTAGTAAACTTAAACCTACTGATTCTTTGTTGGATCCCTCTTTAGAAGCTTGTGGTGTTGACAAGAACTGTTCAAACCCATTTTATTTGAAAGATTTTTTTAATATTGTCAAATGTGCAAAAATGCAAAATAAACGCTTTTCTGTATAATTTCTGAATAATTTCTAAAATTACAGATGCATATGCAAAAATGTGAAATTTGTCTACAGGAACAGGGACTCTTGACTGTTGCCCTTCCCAATATGGCAACCATGCAGACACACGTCAAATCGATAACGCAGTATCTACGTTTCTATATCTATGCATTATAGCTTTCACATCAGCATGTTGGCATTGTAATTGTGAGCATGTTAGCATGCTATCATTAGCATTAAGCTCAAAGAAGTGCTGTGTCAGCCTCAGTACAGCCTCACAGAGCCGCTATACTCTTATTCTTCTTATTCTTAGACTCCTATTCTTGTTTGAAATTTTGGGAATTTAAACTCCCTCAAAGGTAGGATCAAAACTGAAAGAAATTTAGGATTAGAATTACGCATCATTTTTATTCACATCCTTTTAACCACATGTGAGCAGGCTGTGATGAAAAACGTGGTTTTGGGGTTGATTTCTGGAATGTTCGATGGCCCTAAAGGGCTCTACTGGAGACCTGGATCGAGAGTTGTGCTATAGTAAAGCCATTGATGAGATTTTCATTACTCATTGTTCTCAAAAAAATGAATAGAAAGGTTTTAAGTGCTTGAAAACAGCAGGTTCTTTATAGACATTCATCATGGGAACCTGACATATGATACAGCCTATACAGGGGTGCCTTATCATTAAAATAATGTTTTGTGCTTTTTTGATGTACATTGTGACATATATTTTTCATTAAAAGTAGGTGTTAAGTGCCTTTAATGGGAGTTCTAAGACTTAATTTCACCATCAAATTGTAGTGCTGTACTGTGATTATTCTCATTATTTCTAAATTAAAAAACCTTTACCAGTTTATGTTATTGTTGTTTATACAGTGTCAGTTTTAAAGAATCATAGGCATGATACAGTAAGATTTTTTGTACAAGCCACAGAAGAAAATGTTGGGTATATACATGTAGGGTATATGTCAACATCTTTGGCTGTGCAGGTTTGATGAAACATTGTTTTGTCCAGGCTTGAAATTATTAGCTTCACTTGCTGAACTTGTAGACATGTGAATACTGAATGCTTTATGACTTCAAGAAACACAGAAGCTCTTATCTCCGTATCATCAGGAATTGAGCTTGGTGGTGCTTATCTAACAGGCTATGATTTGCTCCATGTGCCTTGAAACATAATGGGACATTTGCCCGGTCAGTGTCTTCATGATCGTTTTTTCCTCTGCATGCGAGAGCAGGCTGATAAGAAGAGAAGCCACAATATTTGTGCAAGTCAGATATATCAGCCACCGTGAAGACGACAGCAGTGTACATTTGTTCTGCAGGGGACACTGTCACCTAGTGGACAAGAACATGTACCAGCATTAACAGCACTTGATTTGTCCATTATATGACTTATGTGGTGACTCTGTGTTAAGTGACACTTTTAAAACTGAACTCATTGTTTAATTTTCAAACATTAATACAACGTCTGTCATTCACATGTATTTGATCTACTCTTCCATCCAGTTGAGGTCTTTATTGTTGAATTCATTCCACATAAAACCCATTAAAGCAGCACCTTCAGAAAAGTCAAATGATTGTATTCGTATGTTTTTCTAGTCTGAAGAAGTTTCAGGTCATTGATACAGACTTGTGTGGGAGATATGCATAATGAATATCTTTTATTTTGTGGAATCCCACAGTAAAAAACAATTTAAAAAAACATACCCGGAGCTTTTTTTGCGTATAATAAAAGTGTGTGAATGCCAGCAGGTTCCTGAGGTTATCATTTATTATTTCTGTTTAATACACTGTTGATTATCTGTTTTCACATCACCGTTTTGCTGAAATAATCTATGGATAAACCCATGATGTGATACCATCAGAATGAACACATAATGTAATCTGATTGAAATAATGAATGGTAAACTGCCCTCCAACAGGACTTTTTTATTTATTGTATGCTTAAATGACATAAACACAAAAGCTAAAGTTATTATCCCTGAAGTACTACATGAGTGCTGCCACACATTTATGTTGTTAGCTTCATTATGAGCTTTTCACAGCTTGACTTCACAGTACAGCTGTTTTGCGTCTGCTCTGGGAGAAACTTGATCATTTTCACAAATTAGTATAATTAGTGTAGCTGTTGAATCAGCAACTTCTCATTATTAAACTTTATACTTTTTTTAATCTATAGTTTTAATGGCTGTCCATTGCAAACAGCACAAACTTCATTCAAACAGTAAAAGTCCTAAAAGACTGTAGGATATATTATAAAATAGGGAATGCAATAAAGGCTTTGGAGACCCATTCACTCACTTGTATTTATAGCTCAGCCTTTATGCATTGTACATGGTACATTAAAATTTCAAGGTGCTCACTTTGGCCTTCTGATTATATATGTATAAGCTCAGAATAATGAGATGGAAAGGGAATAGGACATAGAATGCATTCAACTGTATGGGGTCTGCTTAGCTACTACTTTATTTTTATCTTAGCTAAGGTATCAGGGCACACCCCAATCAAAATTCAGAATGTTAAGTAATGCACACACTGATCAACTGCTTCTGAGCACATAATGAGGACATTTATTGTTTTTGAGTCATGATGAGATGAGATACTTCTTTCTTTCTCAAGTTCAGTTCACTCTGACTGTATCTATCAATTTATTTTAAAATACTCACTATGACACACCAATTAATCATACATATGCTGCCTATAATGAAAACATTTATAGTTCATGGGTTATAAAATAGATCTGGACTTGCTGGTACCCCATTCAATCCAATTTCAGACATACAGTATAATGTCATTTGAAGTTATTACTGCCTATACATGTAGAGTCTCAGTTAGTCTCAGAACTCACTCGCTATATATAATTCAAACTGTACTGAAGTTAACATTCAGTATGGACAAACTGATCAAGCATGTATATGCTCACAGCATATATTGCATGGAAGCGTATTAGACTTTTATGTATAGCTCAAACATTAAACATTCAAATGACTTAAAGCTCAGTACTGCATACTGATATACCGTTTAAGCTTATTCATGTACTGCTACCATTGTACTCTCACTATAAAACCATGATTTAACACAGTACAATGTAACATACAATGATGTGGATCATAAGATGCATGTAAATTCTAAAGAGCCTCATTTTCTCATCCTTGAACCTTTATACAGCACACTGCTTCTAGAGCTTCTCAAGCCACATAATCATATGGTGAAGAAACGTGCTTCAAGGGTATTTAAAGTCATGAAATACTATAAGCTAGTAGGTTTTAGGTTTTCCTGAAAATGCAGCACTTTCCAACAGCAGCAGCAGAATAAGTATTTAGATCTTAAAATGTAAAAGGAATCCATTACAAGTAAAGTCCTGAATTAAGAATTGTATTTACTGAAGCATTATCAACAAAATATGATGTAATAAAAAGTGTAAACAAGTACAATATTTATCTTTGATGTACAGTATATTGAGTAGTACAATGCCGGTAAATAAGTAAATACAGGTTGTTTCTTTCCACCACTGTAAAACAGTGGCAGAAAATCCATAATATAATGTAATGTAATGTAATGTAGGCTAATATAATATAATATCATATAATGTAATATAATATAATATAATATCATATCATATCATATCATATCATATAATATCATATAATGTAATGTAATGTAATGTAATATAAGACTACACTACCCATGATACCTTGGTAAAAACGTGCAGCTGATGACGCCACCCGCTGTTCAACAGGCAGCACAACAAGGAAGTGTTCGGTCTCTGGTTCAACCCGTTTGGACGGAACGATTTTAGGAGCAAATGTTCTCCCTGTAGCACAGGTAAGTAACGCTCCAAAAACGTGGTTTTCCTTCGTAAAAACGTATTTTCTCATTCTGTCGCCAGAAGAAATGCTATAGAGATAAACTATAGCGACAGTGTCTAAAAATGGCAACTGTAAGTTAGCTACTGCTTTCACTTTCTAGTTGGAAAAATGTCAGAGTAGACACGTACATGAAGTTCAGGTTTACTACGCAGTAAAAAAAGAGCAACAAATAGTGCTCCAGCGACTGTATTTGTGAACATTTTAAGAAAATGTTTCTTGTAGTAAATGCACTACTGTTGCATTTCCTCCTAAAACACTGTAGCTGTTATAAAGGCCGAGTTTCCTGTCAGGTAGCTTCAGTGTGTAGGCCATAATCACTATCATGATAACAGGCTAATTTACAAACTCTGTCCACGTAAACGTGAAGAAAGCCTTCAGTCAGCTTCAAACTAAAACGATGTTGTTTTGATTGCTCAGTTATTATGTTTACTTGAGCAGAATTGTGACTATTATTGTAAAATGTTGCAGAGTAACATTAAATGGAATGAAATCAACACACAATCATTCAGTGTGTTTCCAATTGCTACTTTCTGTTAAACTAGCCATGAATAGCTCATGTTAGCAGTATAATGAATCCAGGGCCGGCTCTAGCCCATTTGTTGCCCTAGGCGAGATTACCTGGCGCCCCCCCCCCCCCCCCCCCCCCCTCAATAAAGGAACACCATCATACAATTGAATGACAACTTCTGAACCATCTGAACACTCACAACAGTTTTATTTGAAACAACAATGAACTTTCAAGTCACTCTTTTGAGCATGTTTCAACTAAATTTCAAGTAAATTATTATTTTCAAGACAGAACACGAAGGGAGGGCGCCAATGGGCATCGAAAAGTATTATTGTTTTTTTTGTTTGTTTTTTTTCTCTACCTCGAGGGTGACTGGTGGCGCCCCTCCAGCAGATTGCGCTCTCTGCGACCGCCTATGTCGCCTGTGCCTAGAGCCGGCCCTGAATGAATCAATTCAATACTATATAACTTTTAAAATACAGTACAGAACAGGACTGAGCTGCAACAGATGTGTTACTGCTGTGGGTGGCTTAGATTATTTTATCACAACATTATCTTGTCAATCTGTTCAGATATTTACCAAAATACCAATAAACACATGGTAAAGGGTAAAGTTCATGGTCACTGATTCATATGAAAGTTTCCATGTTTTACAGTAAAATGATTTCCCAAATATATATATGGTCTTAAAGATTAAATATGTCATGCTGTGACAACTGTGACAGCCGTGGTATGATTTATGTGTAATTTATGAAAACATAATATTATTAATAATATAATACTAGAAAATATGAACAATTATATCTTGATATGCTCATTTTGACATATAGTGTTATATGTAGGACTCCACCATTAGTAATTGTTTGGTCTATAAACATTTATAGTGGCTTATTCTACCATCAGGGGTACATAGACTATAAAACCTTCTAATGTCATCATGTATATACTGAAGGCTTTGATTACTGTAGGTTTTTCTTGGCCCCACAAAATGATACTGATATCACTGATGATAATATATGAGGAAATCAAAATGCAGGAAACAGTTGAAGAAATGTAAAAAATCTTTATTTTAAGTTTAGTTGTAAAGCCAGAACAAAATAAACCCAAAAAAGATATGCCACCAACTTTAACCTTGCTTCCTTTTCAAAACAAAATTTAAAAAAAAAAAAAGCTGTGCAACCACTTTAAACTGACTATAGCAGTATGACAGTATATAAAAAATTCATGTCATATGGTAAATTAAAACTCTATACCGGTTCATCCAGGATTATGATGATGAATACTACGCCACCACAATTTCCCAAAGCTCAAGTTGACATATTTAATCTGCTCGCTTTGTCTGATCTTGTGTGATCAATGTTTCAAAACCCAAAGATGTTTAATTTACAGTGATCTAACACAGAAAAAATAAACCCATCATTGCATTTGAAAAGCTGAAACAAGCAAATGTTTGAAAGTTTCTGCTTTAAAAAAAGACTTTTTAAGAGGCATTAAATTATAATACGGACTCATTACCCAGCCTTACCCATCAGGTGTTGCAGTGCTTTTTCTAGGATTTTGTTTAGCGGTGGGGGCAGGCCCATCTGAACCCCCCCCGTCACGTTTTACGTATGAAACAGAACTGACACTTTGCTGCGACACAAACAAATATATTTACCGTTTTAATGTTTCCAGATGTTGTCCAATTAAAACGGACCCACCGCGGGGACGTTTGTGGTGGAGCTGTTAGTTTAAAATCAACATAGAGGAAACACTGTGTTGTCTTCTGGGCTACTCGGGCTACATCTTTCATATAAAGGAAGCTGTACATAAATAATTTGAACCACTTTAACTGGTACAGTGTAACCTCTATGTTTTTGTATTTTTCAGGATGCCGGTTGAACACCCAGAGGAGAGGACTGTGGAGGTGTTGGCGTTGCCCGCAGGAGTGGATGAGGAGTTGCTCTATCTGTACTTTGAGAATAAGCGCCGCTCTGGGGGAGGTCCACTCGTCTCTGTGGAGAAGAAGGGTGATGGTGCCGTGCTGGTGTTTGAAGAGGCAGAAGGCAAGTGGCAACATAGAGTATATTTGTCTGCGACAAGTATTGTAATATATATTTGTGATTTTTTGTTAGCCTTTGACATTTGCCCCTTTTTTAAAATCTTTCATGTTCTTAATCCAAATTTCCTTGGAGACGGGGAGGTTTTTCTCGAAATA